TTTTTTTATTATATTGCATTGTCCAGCCATTATTATTAATTTTTGATGGTATTTATTCATTTTTTATTAGATGAGGTATTGTCATCATTCTTAATTTTGACTATATTTACTTTCATCTTCATTTTTATTAGATGAAGCATTGTCAGCCATTATTCTTAATTTTTGATGGTATTTACTTTCATTTCATTTTTATTAGATGATATTGTCAATATTATTCTTAATTTTTGATTAGTATTTTACTTTCATCTTCATTTTTTATTAATTTTGTCATATTATTCTTAATTTTGACTGGTTTTTACTTTCATCTTCATTTTTTTATTAGATAATATTGTCATATTATTCTTAATTTTTGACTAGTATTTACTTTCATCTTCATTTTTTATTAGATGAAGCATTGTCAAATATTATTCTTAATTTTTGATATATTTACTTTCATATTTTTATTAGATGAAGTTTTGTCAATAATTATTATTCATTTTTGACTAGTATTTACTTTCATCTTCATTTTTATTAGATGAAGCATTGTCAATATTATTATTAATTTTTGAATTTATTTCATCTTCATTTTATTAGATGAAGTATTGTCATAATATTCTTAATTTTTGACTGGTATTTACTTTCATCTTCATTTTTTATTATATGAAGCATTGTCAGCCATTATTCTTAATTTTTGACTGGTATTTACTTTCATCTTCATTTTTTATTATATGAAGCATTGTCAGCCATTATTCTTAATTTTTGACTGGTATTTACTTTCATCTTCATTTTTTATTAGATGATATTGTCAATTATTATTCATTTTTGACGAGTATTTACTTTCATCTTCATTTTTTTATTATATGAAGCATTGTCAATTTTATTAATTTTTGACTGGTATTTACTTTCATCTTCATTTTTTATTAGATGAAGTATTGTCATTATTCTTAATTTTTGACTAGTATTTACTTTCATCTTCATTTTTTATTAGATGAAGCATTGTCAGCCATTATTATTAATTTTTGAATATTTATTTCATCTTCATTTTTTATTAGATGAAGTCAGCCATTATTCTTAATTTTTGACTAGTATTTATTTCATCTTCATTTTTATTAGATGAAGTTGTCAGCTATTATTCTTAATTTTGACTGGTATTTATTTTCATCTTCATTTTTTATTAGATGAAGTATTGTCATTATTATTCATTTTGACTGGTATTTACTTTCATCTTCATTTTTTATTATATAAACATTGTCATTATTATTAATTTTTGACTGGTATTTACTTTCATCTTCATTTTTATTAGATGAAGTATTGTCAGCCATTATTCTTAATTTTTTGACTAGTATTTATTTCATCTTCATATTATATGAAGCATTGTCATTATTCTTATTTTGATAATTTATTTTCATCTTCATTTTTATTAGATGAAGGCGTTTTCATATTATTCTTAATTTTTAATATTTACTTTCATATATTTTTTTATTAGATGAAGCATTGTCATAATTGGCTCTTAATTTTACCCTACTTCGCCGCTGGCGAGTATTGTATTTTGTTGATTTTATCAAGTTCCAATTTTTCCAACCTCATTTTGGTTATTCATTCAAATAGTTTTGTTAACTCATTTCTAACTTGTTTGTGTTATGGAAAGGTTTGATTTCTACTTCTTGGAATGTTCCCCGGAAAAAAAACGACATTAAAAGCGTATCGTATTAAAATGGAAGTTGGATTTTGTTGTTTCCCAAAAATTTAATTTTTTTAAATGAAAAATTTAATCGATTTTGCAAAAGATTTATTGGTCAACTTTTAATCCTTTCTATGGATTATATTAAACATACAGCAAGGTCTCTATTAAGGTTTTCAGCTATATGTTATAAATTACTATTGGATTGTTGTCTTTCTCTTTTATTTGTGTTGTGTTGGAAACTTATTGCTTCATTATGTCTCTTGACGATATTTCGAAGAAAGGGAAGTCGGTGAAAAGGAAGACCGTCTGCTTGGAACCTTCGACTGTCGTTGGAACAAAGATTATTATTAGAATTTTCCTGGCTATTGTTGTGAATTCCCAACGAGAAACAAACGTGTTTGTTTTTCTTTATTGTTTTGCATGGAAAAGATCTTCAGTTTCACCGCCTCATCAAGCGAAAAAACATCAAATAAATATACAAGCAACTTAAAACAGTTCCCTTTCATGTCCGTCATGTGTTTTTTAATCCTAATGTTTTATGTCAGAATTATTTTATATATTATTATATTATATTATGACATTATTTGCAATTATAATATATATAATATTTAATATATGAAGAAATTAATATATAATTATATTAATATATATAATTTTAATATATAATATATATATATATATAAATATAATATATTATATATAATATATATATAATATATATTATATACAATATATTTAATATAATATATAATATATATAATTATATATATTAAAATATAATATTTTTTGCATTTGCTACCCCCTTTAATTTATATATGAAGTTTATATAAATATAAAACATATATATATATATATCATATTTATATTACTATATAATATATCATATAATATATATATAATATAATATATAGAACTCATTATAGAATTTAATATATATATATATTATATATTATATTTATATATAAATATATTATATATATTTAATATATATTATATATATATATATATAATATATAAATATAATTTATATAATATATATTATATATAATTAATATATATATATATAATATATATTATATATAAACATATAATATATATATATAGCATATATGCATATAAGAATATAACATAGTATGTATAATGATCCGATATCTATAAAATATAATTATATATAGTTATAATTATATATCAATGCCTTAGCATATTTGAGTAAAAATAAGTGTAGGTAATTTGGAAAAAAAAAACCGGTTTTAAAATAAATTTTTAGAAATGAAAAATATTACTTTATTAAACTTTTTAATCCTTTCTAGTAGGGTCGAGGTTTTGGTTAAAATTACTATTTTTATTGTCTTGCACTTGTGCTGGTTCAAAGATTATTATTAGGGCTTTTACTGTCTTTATTGTTTTGGAAATACTTGGAAAAAAAATCAAATAATTGTCGAATTTTTCAGAAATTTTTAGGACATATTCGCAAGTAAAAATTTTTTTTCTTGTTAAAAATATTTTTGCATTTGCTATTAATTTTAAAGTTTCAGAAATTAAAAACACCACCTGCCACGATATTTAATTACTTAAAAGTGAAAATTATAATTTTAATTTGTTTTGACAAACAAAACACTATTTAAAAATCTTAATCATAAATCATTCAAACAAAATTACTTTTAAAAATCATCAAACACAAATATTTTTTAAAGAATTTTGAATTTGTTTTTTGTATGCGTACAAACGTGCCACTTTTTGTAAGTACGGACAACCATACACGACATTATCAGAAAATAAGAACGATAACTATAGTAAATTTCAAGCCAACATTTCTAAAATTCAATACAACATTTGTTTAAGGAGAATATTATCATAAACGTGCCGATTTTTGGAAGTACGGACAACCATACATGATATTATCAAAAAATAAAGGCGATAACGATAGTAAATTTTATGCCAAATTTTCGAAAATTCACTGACATTATTTAATTAGAAAAGCTTTTAATTGCTTTTATAAATAAGACATATTAAAGAAATTATTAACTCAAGAAATTTTTTCGAAGTATAATGAATTTTAACAAGAATTATTTACATTTTTTTATAAATTCTAATTCGAAACCTTTATTCAGTTTTAAATCATTTAAAATTCTACATTAATGTCAGCCTTTTAGATAATGATATTATTAAATGAAAACTATATTTAGTAATCATAAATGAAAAAGCTTAATACAAATCTTCAAACATCAATATTTTCAAAAGAATTTTGAATTTTTTATCCGACTATAAAATTGCCGATTTTTGTAAGTATGAGCGACCATATCCGACATTATCAAAAAATAAGAGTGAGGACTATAATAAATTTAAAGCCAACATTTCTATAATTCAATGAAACATTAGATTACGGAGAATATTTTCATAAACGTGCCGATTTTTGTAAGTACGGACAACCATACATGACATTAAAAATAAGAACGATAACTATAGTAAATTTTAAACCAAATTTTCTAAAAATCAATAAAATATCAGATTCCGGAGAATATTTTCCTAATTTCTTAAGATTGCTGAGTACTTATAAATTATATAAAAAAGGCGCAATTCAATTATATTTTACAGATAAAACCTCCGTAGAACAACATTAGATCTGCCATCACGCTTGTCAGTTCGTCAATACAGCTACTGACTCAAAGTAAAAAAATATTTGTTCCAAATCAGATTAATCATACTTAAATGAGCTAATATTCCTCAAATAACGATTCAGAAAACTATATTTGTTATACATGTTTGGAAAATCTTTTAGTAAAGATAGTTATATTGCGATTAAAGACGACGAGAAAAAGGCGCCAATCAGATATTGTAGCCCCCCGCAAAAAAATCAATTATGTTTTACAGAAAAAGTCTCCTTAGAACAACCGTTATAATTTATTTAAACAAGTATTTGAATATTTTCTGCCCGCCTTATATACAGCATCTTCATTCAGATCTATCCCTACCCTCATTTTGTGCTGAAGTTAATACGTCAATTTACTGTTGAGTCCCAACTGACCGCAGACATAACTTCTGAAAGTGCAATGCCAAACATTTACAGATTCTTAGTGAAAATGAAAGAAATTGATTATTTTTTAGTCCGTGTCTCCTTTCTCTTCGTCATTATTGTATGTATTGGCAATAACTAGACTTGTGCTCGCGTGAAAATCTTTGTCAGACGGAACCGTGTATATCTTTGCCGTCTTAAAATAAATTCTTCCGAGTAGACGTTACAGGTAATATCGACTATCATTAATAGAGATGGTTTTCATATGTCACGGACAGTAGCGATAGAAACTAATTACAGTAGAGAGTAAATTAAATTTCACATTCACACTGTCGAAGAAGGCAAAGTGTAATGATAGGAGCAAAAAGGGAAGATGGTTGAAGGAATGAGACTAAAAAGAAAGATGTTTGAAAGAATGAAACAAAAAGAAAGAAAATTGAGGGAATGGAATAAAAAAGAATGACGTTTGAAGGAATGAAGCAAAAAGAAAGAAGATTGAAGGAATGAAACAAAAAGAAAGAAAAATGAAGGAATGAAACAAAAAAGAATGACGATTGAAGGAATGAAAGAAAAAGAAAGAAAAATGAAGGAATGAAACAAAAAGAAAGAAAAATGAAGGAATGAAACAAAAAAGAATGACGATTGAAGGAATGAAAGAAAAAGAAAGAAAATTGAAGGAATAAAAGAAAAAGAAAGAAAAATGAAGGAATGAAACAAAAAAGAAAGAAAAATGAAGGAATGAAACAAAAAAGAATGACGATTGAAGGAATGAAAGAAAAAGAAAGAAAAATGAAGGAATGAAACCAAAAAGAAAGAAAAATGAAGGAATGAAAGAAAAAGAAAGAAAATTGAAGGAATGAAAGAAAAAGAAAGAAAATTGAATAAATGAAACAAAAAAGAAAGACGTTTGAAGGAATGAAAGAAAAGAAAGAAATTTGAAGGAATGAAACAAAAAAGAAAGAAAAATGAAGGAATGAAACAAAAAAGAATGACGATTGAAGGAATGAAAGAAAAAGAAAGAAAATTGAAGGAATGAAAGAAAAAGAAAGAAAAATGAAGGAATGAAACAAAAGAAAGACGTTTAAAGAATGAAACAAAAAAGAAAGACGTTTGAAGGAATGAAACAAAAAGAAAAAAATTGAAGGAATGAAACAAAAGAAAGACGTTTAAAGAATGAAACAAAAAAGAAAGACGTTTGAAGGAATGAAAGAAAAAGAAAGAAAATTGAAGGAATGAAACAAAAAGAAAGAAAATTGAAGGAATGAAACCCAAAAAAGACGGTTGAAGGAACGAAACAAAAAAGAAAGACGTTTCAAGTAGCAGGAGAAAAAAAGAAAGATTTTTAAAGGAATGAAACAAAAAATGACGGTTGAAGGAACGAAGCAAAAAAGAAAGACAGATGAAGGAATTAAACAAAAAAGAAAGACGGTTGAAATAAAGAAACAAGAAATAAAGACGTTTGAAGCAGCAAGAGAAAAAAAAAGAAAGATTTTTGAATGAATGACGCAGAAAAGAAAGACGCTTGAAGGAATTAAACAAGAAAGAAAGAGGTTTGAAGGAACGAAACAAGAAAGAAAGACGTTTGTAGTAGATGGAGAAAAAAGTAAGATTTTTGAAGGAATGAAGCAAAAAGAAAGACGGTTGAAGGAATGAAACAAAAAAGGAAGACATTTGAAGCAGCAGGAGAAAAATGAAAGATTTTTGAACTGATGAAGCAGAAAAGAGAGACGGTTGAAGGAATGAAACAAAAATGAAAGTCAGATGAAGGAACAAAGCAAAAAAAAAAAAAAGACTGTTCAAAGAACGACACAAAAAGAAAGACGGCTGAAGGAACGAAACAAGAAACAAAGACGTTTCAAGTAGCATGAGAAAAAAGAAAGATTTTTGGAGGAATGAAAAAAAAAGAAAGACTGTTGAAGGAATGAAACAAGAAAAGAAAAACGTTTGAAGGAATTCGAATAAAAAGAAAGACGTTGAGTGATTGAGAATAAAAAGAAAAACGCTCGAACAAATAAAACAAAAATAAAGAAGATTGAAAGAATGAAACAAAAAAGAAAGACGGTTGAAGGAATGAAACAAGAAAGAAAGACGTTTGTAGTAGCAGAAGAAAAAAGAAAGATTTTTGAAGGAATGAAACAACAAAGAAAGACGGTTGAAGGAATGAAACAAGAAAGAAAGAGGGTTGAAACAATGAAAGTTAAAAGAAAAAAGATTGAAGGAATGAAAGAAAAAAGAAAGACGTTTGAAAGAATTGGAATAAAAAGAAAGATGATGAGAGATTGAAAATAAAAATAAAAACGGCGAAGAAATAAAAGAAAAAAAAGAAAGAAGATTGAAGGAATGTGACTAAAAATAAAGAAGGTTGAAGAAACGAAACGAAAAAGAAAGACGGTGGAAGGAGCAGGATAAAAAAGAACTACGGTGAAGGAATGAAAGAAAAAAAAGAGATGATTGAAGGAATGAGACGAAAAAGAAAAACGTTGATGGATTGAGACGAAAAAAACGACTGTTGAAGGAATGAAAAAAAAACGAAAGACGGGCGGAGGAAAGAGACACAGAAGAAAGACAGGTGAAGGAAGAAGACAAAGAAGAAAGGCAGTTGAAGGAACGAGACAATGAAAGGCAGTTGAAAGAAAGAGACAAAGAAAGGCATTTGAAGGAAAGAGACAAAGAAAGGCATTTGAAGGAAAGAGACAAAGAAAGGCATTTGAAGGAAAGAGACAAAGAAGAAAGGGTGTCGAAGGAACGAAACAGAGAAGAAATGACGTGGAAAGAACAAGACAAAGAAGAAAGGCAGTTGAAGGAAGGAGACAAAAAAGAAAGGCAGTTGAATGAACGAGACAAAGAAGAAAGGCAGTTGAATGAAGGAGACAAAGAAGAAAGAGTGTTGAATGAACAAGACAAAGAAGAAAGGCAATTGAAGGAACGAGACAAAAAAGAAAGAAGTTGAATGAGAGACAAAAGAATGAACAAGAACGAGACAAAGAAGAAAGAAAAGGAAGGAGACAAAAGAAGAAAGAGTGTTGAATGAACAAGACAAAAAAAAGAAAGGAACGAGACAAAAAATGAACGAATGAACGAGACAAAGAAGAAAGGCAGTTGAATGAACGAGACAAAGAAGAAAGGGTGTTGAAGGAACGAGGTAAAGAAGAAAGGCAGTTGAAGGAACGAGACCAAGAGGGAAGGCAGTTGAATGAAGGAGACAAAGAAGAAAGGCAGTTGAATAAAGGAGACAAAGAAGACAGGCATTTGAAGGAAAGAGACAAAGAAGACAGAGTGTTGAAGGAACGAGACAAAGGAGAAAGGCAGTTGAATGAAGGAGACAAAGAAGAAAGGCAGTTGAATAAAGGAGACAAAGAAGACAGGCATTTGAAGGAACGAGACAAAGAAGAAAGGCAGTTGAAGGAACGAGACAAAGAAGAAAGGCAGTTGAATGAAGGAGACAAAGGAGAAAGGCAGTTGAATGAAGGAGACAAAGAAGAAAGGCATTTGAAGCAACGAAACAAAGAAGAAAGGCATTTGAAGGAACGGGACAAAGAACAAAGGTAGTTGTAGGAACGAGACCGTAAAAAAAGAATGACAGTTGAAGTAACGAGACAAAAAAGAAAGACGTTGGACGAATGAAGCAAAAAAAAATAAATAAAGACGCTGGGGGATTGAAACTAAAATGAAAGGCGGTCAACAAAACAGAACAAAAACTGAAAGACGTTGTGGGATTTCGATTAAAAAGAAAGATGGCGGAAGGAACGAGACAAAAATTAAAGGCGATTTGAAAGATATGCGCAGAAAATGGTACGAGACAAAATGTAATTTTGGTTGAATGAGTGAGAAAAGAACTGCAGCACGAGAATAAAGCAAAAAAATGGCGGACCGTTGAAAAATCGAGACAAGAAAAATAAATGATAAAAGGAAATGGATAAAAAAAAAAAACAAGAGCTGGTTTCATTGGACGTGACAAAAAGAAAAATAAGAAGACAATCGATTGTATGAAACAGAGAGATGAAAAGGAAAAATACGAGGCTAAGTCCAAAATAATCCGCACTGTCGCCATAACATATCTTTAGGTTTGTCTCACTGCCTTCTGCTGATGCGTGCTCATAGTTGGTAATATTGTAGTCACGTGATCGAAGTTACAGCTTGATCGCACCAGTTTTTCTTGCTGCTGTTACAGTGTAAACATGGCCGCTCCGCTAGCAGTTTGCATCAACAAGGAACAAAGAGCAGTGATCCGAATTTTCAAAGACCATGCTCCCACGTCGATGAGCGCTCACCAGTTCGCCATTAACATCGCACTAGCATTTGAATATTCTTATTGAAAGTTATTGTTTTAAATCTTTTAAAATTCTGTATTAATGTCAGCCTTTTAAATGATATTAATATTAAGTGAAAATTACATTTACTACTCATAAATGGAAAAGCTTAATACAAATCATCAAACACCAGCATTTTTAAAAGAATTTTGAATTTGTTTTTTGTATGCGTATAAACGTGCCGATTTTTGTAAGTACGGTCAACCATACATAATATTATCAAAAAATAAAAGCAATAACGATAGTAAATTTTATGCCAAATTTTCGAAAATTCACTGACATTATTTAATTAGAAAAGCTTTTAATTGCTTTTATAAATAAGACATATTAAAGAAATTATTGACTCAAGAAAGTTTTTCGAAGAATAATGAATTTTTACAAGAATTATTTACATTTTTTATAAATTTTAATTCGAAACCTTTATTCAGTTTTAAATCATTTAAAATTCTAAATTAATGTCAGCCTTTTAGATAATGGGATTTTTAAGTGAAAACTATATTAACTAATCATAAATGAAAAAGCTTAATACAAATCTTCAAACATCAATATTTTCAAAAGAATTTTGACTTTTTTATCCGTGTTTAAAATTGCCGATTTTTGTAAGTATGAGGGACCATACCCGATATTATCAAAAAATAAGAGTGAGGACTATAATAAATTTAAAGCCAACATATCTATAATTCAATGAAACATTAGATTACGAAGAATATTTTCATAAACGTGCCGATTTTTGTAAGTACGGACAACCATACATGTCATTGAAATTAAGAATGATAACTATAGTAAATTTTAAACCAAATTTTTAAAGAGTCTGTCTATATTTCTGAGATGAGGTATTATGTAAAGTATCTACATTATTCGGACTATTGTCCTCATCATAGTCGCCATATTTATTACAAAGTTTTGGCCTTTCAGTATCTGTCTATATTTCTGTGATGAGGTATTATGGACGTTATTTACATTATTAGGACTATTGTCCACATCTTTGTCGCCATATTTATCACAATGTTCAGGGTTCAGCTCGAAAATCCAACCACCTGAAGAAGGCCGGAGCGTACAACGGTCGAAACGTTGAGATAAATATGGCAACAAAGATGAGGACAATAGTCCTAACAATGTAAATAATGCACAAATTTTCTAAAAATCAATAAAATATCAGATCCCGGAGAATATTTTCCTAATTTCTTAAGATTGCTAAGTACTTATAAATTATATAAAAAAAGGCGCTCACGTTATTTTCTTCAATTATGTTTTACAGATAAATTCTCCGTAGAACAACATTAGATCTGTCATCACGAACTTGTCAATACAGCTACTGACTCAAAGTAAAAAAATATTCGTTTCAAATCAGATTAATCATACTTAAATCGGCTAATATTCCTCAAATAAAGTTTCAGAAAACGATATTTGTTATCCGTGTTTGGAAAATCTTTTAGTCAAGATAATGAAAGACGACGAGAAAAAGGCGCCAATCAGATATTGTAGCTCCCCCCCCCCAAATTAATTAAATTAATTTTTGAAATAGAACAATGTAATTTGCGTATTGGAATTATTAAATTTAATAATCGATTAGCTTTAAATTAAACAAAAATAAAAATTTCAAGAAACATTTTCATTTTTAAAAATTAATTTTAAAACTTAGGCATCGCATTTTGTGTAGCGATTGGTAGGGACCTCCACAAAAATGCGACACATACGTTTTAAAATACGTTATTTAATACGATACGTTATTTTTCATCATGTTTCATATATATATATATATATATATATATAATTTTCAAATATAGCTATGTATATGTACCGCTCTAAATGTTATTATGTTTGGGAAGATGACTAATTGCTTCGGCAGACGCAAGTCATGTTAAAAACGAAGAGTTTAATTAAACATGGGTACCCGCAAAATTTGAAGTTGGAGTTGGAGGTAAAAAGTTTCGGATAAAAAATCCAGAAATTTCTAAGAATTTACCATATATATATATAGATAGATAGATAGATAGATAGATAGATAGATAGATAGATAGATAGATAAGAACAAAATAAGATAGATAGATAGATAGATAGATAGATAGATAGATAGATAGATAGATAGGAACACAATGAGATAGATAGATAGATAGATAGATAGATAGATAGATAGATAGGAACACAATGAGATAGATAGATAGATAGATAGATAGATAGATAGATAGATAGATAAGAACAAAATAAGATAGATAGATAGATAGATAGATAGATAGATAGATAGGAACACAATCAGATAGATAGATGGGAACAGGGTCTATAGAAACCTAGGCAGACAGACAGAAAAGTAGTCGTCATTTTAGTTTGTTGTCGTCAGAATTCTTTCCTAATAAAGAATCGATCATTCAGGTGTGGTAACGCAACAGGTGAAAGAATTTTTTAAAAGTTCTAAATCGGAAAATTATGCTTATTTTTAGAATTTTTTCGCGAGAAATAAATTCCGTTTTTAATGGCTGACAGAGCAGTTACTGAATTCCTCTGACATTGTCAGTCAGAGTGACACAGTCCAGTCATAAGACGCAACGAAAACATAGAATGCCTTATATAAGTTAAAGACAAACACTCGCACACAGTTGTATCTCTCTCTCATTCTGACTCTCTTTACATATATATGTATATATATATATATATATATATATATATATACACACACACACACACACACACACACACACACACACACACACACACACACACACACATACACACATATATATATATATATATATATATATATATATATATAAAAAGAACGGTAAGATATATAATCCGGTGTTCTTATAGATATTTTTATTTTTACAAAATAGTGCTCAATGTAAATTTACAGAGCATTAATATTATAAATTCATTTATTTAAAAAAAATTTTCGCTACACAGTTCTAACCATGTTTCAAAAATGGAAGCTGAAAGCTCCGAATTTAATTTTGTAATTGAATTAAAGACATTAATTCCATTTCATCCCCAAGCGAATTTTGGAGTAACTTTTAAAATTACTGGGTTTTAAAGACACAGCAAAAATCATAATTCACGTTTCCAAGGATAGAGAGAAATCCATTCATCCAGACAAGGGTTGGTTGCATGTTCGTTATCGCTGTATTTTGATGTATCAGTTATTAGTTACGTTTTGGTAGGGGGTAGAATGTATTCTTCAATGAAATCTAACATCCGTTAAATGCATGTCGTCTGGATATTTTTTTAAATTTTATTGTTAACGGCAAAAATTCTTACGGCATTTTTTTTCTGTTGTATATTTAATGATTTTTTTTGGGGGTGTTTAGGTTAGAATACGTTTTATTTAACTACCATTTGAAAAATATTTTCATTCTTAATTTTAATATACTATATTTCTTTTTAAGAAAAAGAAATGTATTAGAATCCTTACAGTATGTAGAATTATTTTCACATCAAGTATAAGTATGTATATTATTGGAGTAATTTTTGAAATTATTTTCACCATCAAGCCTTTTAAGGACTGCGGATCATCAGACTTTACTTCCAAAGGTTGTAAGGTTGGAAGTAAAGTCTAATGATCCAAGTCCTTTAAAAGGTCTGTGGTGAAATAATTTATTACATGGAAACTTAAAGTGGTCTGTTTTTATTTAAATTATTTGCTCTGGATTTACATTGAGCTCTCTGGGATTCATCCTCCTTGTTGGGTATAATTCATACGTATTACCTGGTTTTGCATAAACTATATATATATATATATATATATATATATATATATATATATATATATATATATATAACAAAACCTGACGATCCGCGTAGGTGAAACCTTGGTAGGTTTATCTGGCTGTTTAGGTTTAATTAGGTTTGCTCTACTTAGCGTATTGAGCACTTTACTTAGATATTTTACTTACTCGTATCGTTTTTTTTTATCTTTGGACTCTGAACTTGGATGCTAGACGATTGTCTTCGGATGACGTACATGTTGTCTGTTCTTTCTTTTTTTCTACCTTTTTTTCCCTTGTTTATTTACATATCAAAGTGCTCAAGGTTTCCCGGACGAGTATAATTTCTTATATTTATAAGATTATTATATATATATATATATATATATATATATATATATATATATATATATATATATATATATAAAATTTAAAATATGATTCCAAACGCGACATAAGAAGCCCCATGTTTCAAAACAAGAGCCAAAAACAATATAATTATTTAAATTAAATTGAGTTAAAATAAGCTCTATTTCCATCTTCAAGCGAATTTTTTTTTGAATAACGTGTTTCTGAAATTTACGTATTTTAAAATTGAAATCAAAATTTCCATGGTAACAGCTAATGGCGAATTGTTTAAGTTGGGTAGGGCCCAGTGTTGTGTTAATAATAAGTATCAGTATAGAGTTACTTTCGTAGATGTCAAGTCAGGGAAAGGTATATGTCTAAATTTGAAACGGAAGATGTATTAACCCTCGTCTAGTTTGCATGTCTATGGAGATTTATTTATTTTTTTATTTTATTTTTTTTATAAAGGGATTTGTGCATATAAAAAAAAAAACTGTCGTAACGTATTTTTAAATAAATAATTATATTTATATATCTACTTTTGTATCGAGCACTTTTTTTAAAAATAATAACTAAAATACTAAAAGGACTTTGGATATATATATAACCTATATATTTTCTCATATATATATATATATATATATATATATATATATATATATATATATATATATATATATTAAAATATATATATATATATATATATATATATATATGTGAAAATATATAGAAAATAGGAAGGAACTGGTTAGGTAAATAATCCAAAGTCCCTTAGTATTTTAGTTATTATTTTTAAAAAATAGTGCTCGATACAAAAGTAGAGCATAAATATAATTATTTATTTAAAAATATGATTCCAAATCGCTTTTCAAGCCGAAAACTTCAATATAATCCTTTAAATTAAATTGAGTTGAAAGTAAAATGGGCTCCGTTCGATCCTCAAGCGAAATTTTTGTGGGAATTTAATTTAATTTATTTAATTTTATTTTATTATGAAAGGGAATTGTGCATATAAAAAAAGAAAGACTTTCGTAACGTTTGTTTTTTGACGACTTCATAAAGGGTTATCTTATATGTAAGGTATTTAAACTACTAATTTAGGCTATGGATTATGAAGTGTGTTATGTAGTATGCATGTTTGTAGTTAATTATTCCGACTATGAATCTGATGATTGGGCTATTTGTTAAACAAGTTATATAAATTTTTTTATCTAATAATTCAAACCAAAATCTGATGATACCTACAAAAACCGTTAACTGTATATATATTCGAATATATATATTTGAATATATATATATATATATATATATCAAATCATATATATATTCGAATATATATATATATATATTCGAATATATATATATTCAAATATTCATATATATATATATATATTTGAAAATATATATATATATATATATATATATATATATATATATATATATATATTAAATATATATATATATATATATATATATATATATATATATATATATATATATATATATATATATATATATTATATAATATATATATATATATATATATATATATATTCGCCGTATATGTTCTTCGTACTTTCTTTTTTTAGACCTATATTTTCCCTTAGGTATTGGTTTGTTCGTTTAAAAATGCTAAAACACCTAATGCTTTGTCGGACGAGTATAACTCTTATATTTATTTGATTCTTAATATTATATATATATAAAGTATATTTTTTTTATACCGGAATATATATATATATATATATATATATATATATATATATATATATATATATATATATTTATATATATATATATATATATACAAGTATAGTTTTGGTGTATACGGAAGAAATTCTAATGACCCAAAAATACTATTCTTAAAAGAGTGCTCAATACAAAGTGAAGCAAATATAATTTGTTCGAAAATTATAACATAAATATGTTAAAAAATCACAACAAAAATAGCCATTTTGTTTCAAAACTTCTGGTGTCTTATCAAGTGATTGTGTTGAATGTAGAATTCTACATTCAACATAATATTATGTTAGAATTTTCGAACAAATCATACACACACACACACACACACACATCTATATATAGTAATAGTTGGCCACTCGTATGCGAGTATACATGTCTACTAGGGCGGCTGGCCAATCCCTATTGCAGACGCTAGCTCAGGCGCATTTGTGTTTATTCAACACCCACACAGCCCACCTGTGGTTTATATTGCAATTATGCTGAGCAGACGTTTCTGGGAAAGGGTGTTATCTTGCGTGAACAAAAGTCAACGCTCAAACCCCCTCGGCTCAAACCCTCACTTGTGACTTCGTGCTAGCTAATGACGGCTCCCCAAGGGTTCCGACTACCAAATTTCACTCACAAGGCTTGGGTCAATACGTGGTACGGTTTTCAGTCACTTTCTGGGATCGACACTTACAGTCTGATAACATCATGAAGTCTCCTTCATGACAAATCGCTTGTGGAGAGATTCGAACCCGAATCTCATTACCAGAAAGCGAATGTCCTAACCACTCGGCCATGTACATATATTTACAGTAACGTTCACCCTATAGAAAGAACAATCAAGGTATAGGGTTATGTTAGGAGTTTATACGGGTAGGAGGGAAAGATAACGGTTAACCCTAAAATGAAACAGGTCCTGATTGTAGTAATCAGGTAGAAATCCTCTTTGGGGGTCGGGTTCACAGAGCAGTGGTTCGCGGGAAGAGGCTGTTTTAGTGGAACTGACTTCTCCCCGATGGAATACGGGGGTAATGTGGCTGATTTGCTACGATGTAAGTGGCATGGTGTGTCCTAACCGTGAAGGTTAGACCTGACGTAACCAGGGAATGTAGCTCGTCCGAGCACTTTCCGTGGATATAGCAGTAGAGCAGCGAGAGGCTTACTACATACCACCTGTGAGGGTGAGGTTGGTGGGTCGAACATAATTCGTCTCCCATAAATTATTGTGATGCGTTGAGCGGGCGAGGAGGATCATTTATGTTCATTGTGAAAGGACACGAGCAAATGGCTTCAATATTTACAAGCCGTTCGCGATTTGTCAATTGGCCAGCATTTGCTAGACAATCCTGATTGGGTCGCCGAGTACGAGGACTTTTTTTTTTTTTTTATTCTACAAAGTATTCGATCGGTTTACCATCTCCGAATTCTCGAGGCTGTGTATATCAAATTCGATCCTATTGTAATGGCAAAAGTGCCCAGGTGTAGGCTTTAAGAAAGCTTTGTTCAACTGAGAATACAAGGTTCGCATATAATGCCCCTTTATAGTTCCAGTAAACAGAAATAGCGCTCTCAAAGAAGAGAGTAACAAAACAAGGGGAGACCACTCTTGATTATTAATAACACCCATATAAACAAAAAGAGCATTTCATGCGTTCTTTGCAATTGATCGAAGGACTCTTGTGGATCTTTTAAATTATTTTATTCGTAATTATTTACAATTAAAACATATTTTAATCGTGTTCCAACTTTCCCTACTCATTCGTTATTATTATTATTATTATTATTATTATTATTATTATTGTGTCGTGATTTTTTTGTATTTCGCTAACGATTACCTTTGAAAAAGCGTTCGCCAAATGGATCCTAAGTTACAATAATGCCGTCTGTTTTGTTCAAGTGTATATTTACAAGTACCAGTTCTCCCTACCTTGGCTATCACACAGAGTCAAGTTAAGCCATTTTGGGTCCTGTAGCATATGTTGTAAGGGGGGGGTCCTAAATTTTTAAAACGTTACGGATAAATATCAATTCGTTAATAATTTACTAGGATAGTGACAAAGCTTATGAATCATAAATATTTAAACTTCTATCAAGGTAATAAACACCGCCCACCAAAAAATAGAATAAATACAGAAGAATCCCTCATATCTGGAATCCCACATATCGGGAATCCCTCATATCCGGAGTGCCTCATATCCGGAATCCCTCATATCCGAACATGATTTTGATGTGTATATTTGAACTATTTGGGTGATATGTAACTGATTTAAAATTTATGTTTTTCAGAAAATTTACTTTGGCTAATTGCTTATTTCACCCTAATGGCTTGTATTTGGTGTAAAAGATGATGGGATTAAGAGGAAAGGATGACAACGAGACACATCTGCAACAAGATAGCGACGAGATGCATGATTGTGATGAAACCTGGACTGAAATTGAAAAAGCTATTGAAAAGGTCGTCAGTTTTATGGAAAGAAAGCCAGCATTCACTTATGACGATTGCAATAACGCACGCAGAGTTAAAAAGTGTTTTTCATTTAAAAATTTCAAGAACAAAAGTAAAACGAAAAGCGGAAAAGTTGAGAATGACATTAGAAGAGAAAGAAACATCATGCAACAGCGATTAAAAAATCCTTGTTACATTATTTGTTTTGCATACGTCACATACTTAATTTAATGAATTTTCATTAACATTACATAATTTATTTCTTTTTCCTTAAAATCAATTCCATTATATTTCACTCACCATTAGCTTATTTTGTTTACTATGAAACATTGAAAAGAAATGTTAAACCTGATTTCTGTACTTTTATTTTAATCTAAATATAACCTCTCATATCCGGACTTTGTAACCAATTCCTCAGATCCAGACTCTGTAACCAATTCCTCATATCCAGACTTTGTAACCAATTCCTCAGATCGAGACTTTGTAATCAATTCCTCATATCCAGACTTTGTAACCAATTCCTCGGATCCAGACTTTGTAACCAATTCCTCATATCCGGACTCTGTAACCAATTCCTCATATCCAGACTTTGTAACCAATTCCTCATATCCAGACTCTGTAACCAATTCCTCATATCCAGACTTTGTAACCAATTCCTCAGATCCAGACTTTGTAACCAATTCCTCATATCTGGAAGGCCTTCTTAGTCCGGTTGTCAGGGATTCTACTGTGTCAGGCAAAATTATTTTTAACAAGGTATCTGAGTAGATTAAACGGCCCCGATATAATGTTATCTGAAATGATGACTAACTTAAGGTAGAGGTCTCCCTCATCATCCCCACCCAGCACCCCCAACGATTTAACGTATCGACAGCGTGAAAGTATTTCGTGCGCGGCCACCGAAAACTGCAGGACCCGTTGCATCTGCTATTGTTGTTGCTCGACTGATCCGACACTGTCATCATACTGGAAATGTCTTTTCAGGTAGCGATCATTAAGTGCATGAACAGGCTTAACTTCCATTTAAATGCTCGAAGTCCGAGTTCCATAAAAGCCTTTAACGATCTAAGAATGAAACACCTGTTGCAAAAAGCAAATGCTAAGATACATCGAAAAGATGTTGGCGTATACAGACATGTGCTGCGCATTCTGTACCCGTTGCCAGCAATAAGACACACGTACAATATGTGTGTGTACGTGTATGTATAGTATTAATACAAATAAAATGTGCCACGTAACTGATTTTTGTTATAGAGAGATATATATGGATTATAATAGATTATAGATAGATAGATAGATAGATAGATAGATAGATAGCAGATTTCGATAGATAGGTCGATTGTTAGATATTAACAAATTTCGATAGATAAATATTAACAGATTTCAATAGACAGATATTAACAGATTTCGATAGATAGATAGATAGATAGATAGATATTAACAGATTTGAGGATTTAAAATGAATGAAACAAAAATTTCACGTCAATAATTTTGCATTCGCATTTTTAAGTCTCTGCTTCATATTATCAGCTTCTTATAATGTTATTGAAAATATACTTTCCGAAAGAAAAAACAATAAGCAGCTTCTACTCCATAATATATATATATATGCATGTATGTATATGTATATTCATTCAAGATTGTATGATCCAGTATGTCTTGTTATTGCGATAAGCGATGGCATTTTAGCAGGTAAGTGAATGTAATAAACTCGACTGGATGTCGAACTCGGCTCTCTAATTCCTTAATCTGGGACGCTATATATATATATTTTCCTTAGTTTCATGTAAATAGATTATGCTCATATTGTAAATAAACATTGGGGTTAATTTTTAGAATTATTGTTATATTTCCCTCCCCTCACAGACATTGTATTGTATTATATGGGTTTAGTTAGTTTTTTCATAGAGACGACGAGGTATTATGGTGTTTGTAGTTTGAAAGGTACGTATAAATGCGATGTTTTGGTGTAAAAAATATTATCCGTACGATTAGGTCAGTGTTTGGTGGCTAGCTAAGTTAAAACTAAAGACAGAAGAAGACCGTCCCTCCCCATTCCCCCTATTTCGGCCTTTGTGCCACATTTCTGTTTAATTTGCAGAATAAATATTATATATATATATATATATATATATATATATATATATATATATATATATATATATAATGACCATGTAGCTGTACATAATACACATAATTACCCATATATATATATATATATATATATATATATATATATATATATATATATATATATATATATATATATATATATATATATATATATATATGTGTGTGTGTGTGTGTGTGTGTGTGTGTATAGTACAGGTAATAGATCCATTGGTGTATAATCCAGGTGGATTCTAGTAATATCAGATATTAAAACTGATCCACAGTATTTATTATAATAGAGCATTTATTTTATACAGTTTCAAAATTACCTCATGTGGGTATAGTCTATTTCTGACCAGCACTGGATGATGACGGTCCTCCCCAGGAAGACACACACACACACACACACACACACACATATACACATATATATATATATATATATATATTTAAATATATATATAACTTTAAAAAATATATATATAACTTTTAAGTATGTATATATGTAACTTTATCTCTATATATAAATATATAACTTTAACTATATATATATATTTAACTATATATATATATATATATATATATATATATATATATATATATATAATGAAATGATGTCTTTTTTAATTTTCAACCTGGTATTTTTGCTTTTAACTATTATTTTTTTAGTTAATAACCCATTGCTGTAGACGAAACAAAATACTGTTTAAAATTAACGACCATCTAAAATCGTATTTATTAAAATAACGTTTAAAGTAAAATATACATATATATATATATATATATATATATATATATATATATATATGTATATATATATGTGTATATGTGTGTGTGTGTGTGTGTGTGTTTTAGTAGCGACTGTGTTGTGCTCAATTTTTGAGATTTTGTTCTTTTTGTTTCTTTCCAAAGAAACTGAGTCTATCTGTGAGATAATAAGAAATAACAACAAAAAATCAATTTTCCTCATGAAATTCTCTGTACATTCGTTCATTCCTTCATTAATTGAGATCATTAAACTGTGAAATTGTGGGGTCGGATTCCCATTTTATTTTTTTTATGTATCTATTTTTGTATAAATTTGTGGAAATGAAAAAGTTTGGGGACGCAAAAATGTACAGAAAAGACCGCGCGAATAATCTAGGAAGCAAAAGGAAACCTATTTTTTTTTTTTTATTTTATTTTACTTTTTTTATTGCTTACTTGGATAAAGACCAGAAAAGCTAATCTGAAAACTTTGACAAAAAATAAAAGGGGAAAAAAAATCGAACGATAGAAAAGATAGTAATATCGTTAAAAAAAAAAAAAAAAAAAAATGACGAGTAACGACTCCCTGTCGAAAAACAAAAAAAAATCAAGTATAGTATTAAAGAAATAAATAAAAGATAGATGAATACAGACGGAAAAAATATAGACTGATTCAGACGATAAAAAAATAACGAAAAAAATAGAATCACTAATTTTGGTTTGAGACCAAAATGCAGTATGGAAGGACAGACGTATTTAAAAATATACATAGATATTTAATGAGACGATTTCATTTTTACGGGCATTAAAAATGCTTTTAAAAATTATATTAAGGAATTTGAAGAACAAAAAGCTGAGAAAGAAAGCATTTGTAAGATTAACAGTTTCTTTTTTTTGTTTTTATGTTGTTTTTTTATTATTTTTTTTTTAACAAGAAGACAAAGTCAACACTTAAAACATAATTCAATAATGATTAGTGTGGAGAAGTCTCTTAGATAAGCAAAGTACTTGAAGACAAAATCGAAAGAGAGAGAGAGAGCGAGAGAAAAAAATGTCGATCATTTATAGAGGCCAACCAAACTATTAAGATAAAAAAAAATAGGAAAAAAACAGCATAAAAAAAACAAAAAAAAAAACGTAAATTCAGTGAAAAAAAATTGATTTAAAGAATTGAAAAAAAACAAAACAAAAAAAAACACGGACATACCTGTTTGAAAACATTCTGTAATCCAAGCGTAGATTTTCGACCAGGAATTTGTATGAGGTAAAACCGAATCCACAGCTGCAGAAGCGCTACACTGCATCGAGTCGTCTTTTATTCGTCTGTGCGTTCTTTCGATCTCTCTCACACTTCCTCGCTATCTCATACTTCTCTTCTCTCTTTCCTTCCTTTCTTTTTATCCTTTCTTTTTTTTCTTTTTTTCCTTTCTTTCTTTCTTTCTTTCTTTCTTTCTTTCTTGCTTTCTTTCTGTCTGTCTTTCTTTCTTTAAAACGTCTGTTGTCAATTTACGTACAGTAGTGTATACGGAACCATATCTTGTGTTTCACTAATATATATATATATATATATATATATATATGTGTGTGTATATATATATATATATATATATATATATATATATATATATATATATATATATATATATATATATATATATAATAATGGACAAAGTCCGACAATTATTTTAAGACATTTTTATGTTTATACATTTTATCTCCCACTTCTCTTTTCTTTCCTTTCTTTCTTTTTCTTTCTTTCTTCCTTTCTTTCTTTAAAAACGTCTGTTGTCAATTTATACTTACAGTAGTGTATAATGAAACTATGTCTTGTGTTTCACTTATATATATATATATATATATATATATGTATGTATGTATGTATGTATGTATGTATATATATATTATGAAATGGACAAAGTCCGACAATTATTCTAAGTCATTTTTTTTATGCTTATACATTCTTTTTAATATTTTATCTATAAAAGAATGTATAAACATAAAAATATCTTTATATATATATATATATATATATATATATATATAACATATATATATATATACTATTTTACTTTTACGTTTGCTTGTCTAAAACAAATTGCGTTACCCAAAAAGTTCGTTCGCTTTATTAAATAATTATAAAAGACATTTCTTTTTTCAGCATTAACTTCATCAAACAACATATTTACAATTTTATTTCACTATTTTGCTTCTCCCATTCAAGCATTCTCCCCTGTCAATGGAACATTGTCTTCACTCCCTGCAATGGGGTAAGATCTTCCCCAAAACAGTGACTTTTCATCATAAATGCTTACAGACTCAAAAACAATTTATCTCCGAATCAAGTAAACGCTCGTAGATTCATATATTAACGACAAAACGGATGTTTTCTGTTAAATCACCCAAAAAAATATTAATTCAACCCAAAATAAAAAGAATTCATATTTACTAAAATTCACATGAAATTCTCCCAGAGCGAGGCCCTTCCATTGCATTCTGGTTGGGTTGACCTTTACGATCGCGCCAAATGTGGGCGACTCAGATGCACTATTTCTAAAAGGGGGGTCTGTATTCGCGATCGCGTTGATAAAGAAGCCAAAAACAGATGTTTTGGGGGGAGTTTTTTAAATTGCAAAAAAAAAAAATCCTTGTAAGTACCTCGAACATTATCCGCACTTACGAAATGTGAATAACTCCCTGATTTTTGGTAATTTTTCATTCTGAGCATCGGAGTTGTTGCGAGGCAAGCTAAACAAATTTTGATTTATTAAAATTTATAAACTCAAAAGAGTGCCAAAAATTCTTTAAAAAATAAAAAACAAAAAAAAAAACTTTGATTTAAAATTTATAATTTCTTGGGTGAATTAATATTGGCGATAAGTAACTTTATTACATTGTTTCGTGAGAATTAACACAAAAGATCCGACAAAAATTTACCTACCACGAAAACAATTAAATGTTTATAGGCTCAAATATAAATAGTCAATATTTAGCTATCCCCAAACCAAATAAATGCTTCTAGATTCAAATATATACAATCGACATTTAGCTATCCTCAAACCAAATGCTTCTAGATTCAAATATATACAATCGACATTTAGCTATCCTCAAACCAAATGTTTCTAGACTCAAATATATACAACCAATCTATCCTTTGCAGCTCTCAACAAATCCCTTCCCTCTGCCACCCCCCTCAGACCACGTTCTCTCATCCACTTGCTTAAGCTCGCTAGGTATGCCATGTATTGTTTTCTATTGTCTCTCTTTTCTCTCTATTCGACCCGTGAGTATCAGATTCTCCAGGCCCTCCTTCCTTATTATGTGTCCCAGGAACTTCAGATTTACCGATATCTAAAACCCGTATTAAAAAAAAAAAAACAATTTTTGTCTATCTATGAACAAAGTAAATGCCAATAGACTCATATAAAATAAACAATATGTACCTTGTAGGGACATTATTATTAATAACAAAAATAAAGATAATAATTATCATAAATAAAACAACTAACATTAAAACTTTGTTTAAAATAAAATAAAATAAATTAAACCAAATTAATAAAAGTTATCCCAGCATGCAACAGAAAAATTTCATATCGGAAAACGGACATCGCACCAAAAAACGCCGATCTCACTCTTTTCGCTCCAGACCCTAAAAGAGCCAAGACGTCCATCTTGCTTGTCGTAAGACGAAGTGACTTTTCTCCTCTATAGAATGCAGTTTTAAAACACATGTAACTGAAATACACACACACCAATATACAAAATAAATAAACTTATATGATTTTTAATTCACAACTTAACATGCTTCTAGTGTTATTTCATGTGTGCTTTTTATTCTTGTGAACACGAGGCCAAGTCTGCTGACCCCACAATCTAACCCCGAAATAAGTGAATGCTTGTAGGCTCAAATGTATGAATTTACAGACCTTTATAGCTGAAACTCTCCATGATACATCCATGTCGAATCACGCACATTTCTTCTGTATACCATTTGTAAGGAGGAAGTTCGACCCAAATATCCCCGAAACCAAATGCAACTACTTTATGGAACAAGCTGCCATGTGAATGATTTCCTGAACAATATGTCAAATGTCAATCTTTGTTTATCATCATTTTCCTCTACCTACTCTTACGTTCATATCGCACACTTCATTCAGTAGCCCTCTACCAGGAGTGGCTCTTGCGACTTGTATTTAGTGAATTTAATTTCTGTCTATATTTCTGAAATGAGCTACTGTGACTATTTACACTATTTACATTATTCGGCTTGTCGTCGCATTTATTGTCACATTCACGACGTTTCGGCCGTTGTACGCTCCGGCCTTCTTTCTGAGATAAGATATTGCAATTATTTACACTATTTACATCGTTCGGACTGTTGTCCTCACGTTTATTGTCATATTCACGACGTTTCGGCCGTTGTACGCTCCGGCCTTCTTCATGATCTGTCTATATTTCTGATATGTGGTATTGTAATTATTTACATTGCTCGTCCTGTTGTCCTCATCTTTATTGTCTGATTCACGATGTTTCGGCCGTTGTAAGCTCCGGCCTTCTTCGATCGATATACGTTGAAATTTCGAACCGAACACTTTATTTCGTACATTGGGGATGATTGTTCTCGTTCCACACGTGCCATGCTTTTTTTTTTTTTTTTAGTTATTTTAGTTTCAGTTAATTCCCTTTAATAACTCAACTCTCCAAAATTCATTCACCTCTGCCGTAGCCAGGTATTGAAACCACAACGGTTTGGGTTAAGTCACTGGATTACTTCAGCCAACGCTTTTATCCACTCGGCCATGTGTCCTTAGGGGAGGAGGAACTAGAATAATCTAGCTGGATGGACGAAATAAAGGGTTCGGTTCTATATTCCAACGTATATCACCTGACGAAGGCCAAAGCGTACAACAGCCGAAACGTCTCGGATATGGCAATAAGGATGAGGACAACAGGACAAGCAATGTAAATAGTTACAATACCACATATCAGAAATATAGACAGATCCTGAAGAAGGCCGGGGCGTACATCGGCCGAAACGTCGTGAATATGACAATACATGCGAGGAATAAAGTAAATAGTGTAAATAGTCACAATAGCTCATCTCAGAAATATAGACAGAAATTAAATTCACTAGATACAACTCCGAGCTATGTAAAAAGTGCAAATATGAACTTTTTTTAAATAAAAAATTTGTAACCTAATATTATACATACTTATACCTGATGTGAAAATATCTCTACATACTGTAAGGAATTCTAATACATTTAATTGTTCTTAAAAGAAATATAGTATATTAAAAATTAAAAGTGTTCTAAAAATAAAACTAAACACCCCACAAAAATCTTTTAACATATAGAAAAAAAAAAAATGCCGTAAGAATTTTTGCCGTTAACAATAAAATTTTAAAAAATCCAGACGACATGCATTTAACGGATGTTAGATTTCATTCAAAAATACATCCCTACCCCTGCCAAAACGTAACTAATAACGGATACATCAAAATACAGACATAATGAACACACAGACACCCCTTGTCTGATTGAATTGGATTTATCTGTAACCTTGGAAACGTGAATTATGATTTTAGCTGTGTCTTTAAAACCCAGTAATTTTAAAACTTACTCCAAAATTCTCTTGAGGATGAAATGGAACTAACGTCTTTAATTTAATTACAAAATTAAATTCGGAGCTTTTAGCTTCCATTTTTGAAACATGGTTAGAACTATGTAGCGAAAAAAAACATATTTTAAATCAATTAATTTATAATATTAATGCTCTGTAAATTTACATTGAGCACTATTTTGTAAAAATAAAAATATCTATAAGAACACCGGATTATATATCTTACTGTTCTTTTTTATATATATATATATATATATATATATATATATGTTATATATATAAAATTAAAACAACAAATAAGGTATTACGATTAAGCTTTTTTATTGTGTTCGAAAAAGTGTTTTCTTTTTTGGACACACGGTGTGTAGAAACCGTCCTAATGTTCTATAATTCCGAGTGCTTTTGGCTATACTTTTAGCCATTATCAAGGATGATTTTATTTA